ACTAACCAGAGTTAAATCCACAAATATAGCAAAATAGCTGACATCCAAACTTTCGTTGCTTTTTCCAATCTGTTCTTAAGGTATGCAATCTGAAAAATGGTCCTTCACTGTCCTCTCCTTAACTGCACAGCTTTGCTTCCAACTCTGTAGGAAAGATTATTCAGAACAGACAGCTTCTGAATAAGCAGGAGAGCTTTCCATGAAGGCCACCTATATATTGCAAGGAAGAGGTTTGCTAGGCACAGGACAACTGCATCAGTGATGTGATATCCTGCTTTACCCAAGGAGCTCATTTGTTCAATTTGACCTATCTGCAGGTGGCGTGACCATCCAGAGTATCCCTTCAGCGATGAATACTGAAAACAAGATGTGTCTGGGCAGGTTCCTAACTCGGTACCATTGAGCTTGGCTGAAAGTGACCCAACATTTGGTGCTTTGACTTCACGGGAGACTGTTCAAATCAGCATTAAAAACGTGACATTTACTTCCTCTTGTCTTGTCAGTCTGTTATTGCTGCTGAAGAGCAAATCTATTTAACCTATTGAATCTCTGGTTTTGGCTTAGAAGGCTTTAACTCTGAGCACTGAAACTTCAAAACTGACAGCTGATAAAATTGAAGATTTCTCTTGAAAACAGGCTCACTAGTTCAAGCCAAATCATTTTCACTCAATGGCACATTCTTCACTGAATTTGAAACAAGAAGTTCTGCTTCAGTAGATGTGAAGCAGCGTCGTTTTGTTTCACAGCTCAAGTGAGAGAAAGGAGTGGAGAACTAATTGGATTTGAGAGCTATATATGCACATATGTATACTGATATATAGATAGACAGATTCACTGCTTCATGCAGCAAAGCCTATTTCACTCTGACCAGAGTATCCTTCAGCTGCATACATGAGCTGCATTCTGTAGGTAACCTCAGCTGGCTCCACATGCAAGTAGTTCAAGCCCTAAAGCATTACTTGTAATGTTCATATCCCCCCCCACCTCAGTGAAACACAGGCCAGTGTATGACTATTGCATCTATATTTGAGCTGCCATACAATGATGGTATAGCATAGCGCTGCATATGCAACCTGGAGCCGTCCTGGAGCTATCACTAGTGAGAGCCTCATCTCACGAGATTAAAAATCCCTTAAACTTCTTTCATGCTCCACAAACTAATATTCACCCAAGAAAATTTCTGTTCACTTCAAAATTCTTACAGTCTTTTGTATAAACTCCTGACCAAGACTGTACTGAATTAGGAAGCTAAAGTTGTCTTTTGTTAAATACCACTTTCAACCGTGCTTTGAGACTGCAGACCACTGGCAGGTCCAAGAAAGGGTAAGAATCAGGCAGAAGCAGCCAGGCTGAAGCCCATACATTTCCTTCAATCTGCCCTCAGCTCTCTGAAACGTGGGGGACAGAAGCATGGACACCAGAGTAAGGAAGACCAACTTCTTCAGCATGATTTTTTTTTTCAGACCACTTGTTTGCTCAACAAGTTTTGCAGCCTATAGGTGTGTCAGCCTAAACCCCCATCTGCAGAAGGTTGCTATCCCTCCCTCCTGTGCCCAAGCACTCCAGTTTCCCGCCACAGAAGGGCTACGCTAGAGAGGTATTGGAGAAGAAACTAAACCATATGATGAGAGGGTACTTCATGTACTAAAACATGCATACTGCCATTGAAAAACAGGTCACACATAATCTTCAGTCTATAGCATCTGCTTTTATTTATTGCTGTTGCTATTTATTATCCCTGGAGTGACAGGAACAGGAAAACACCATGTTCATGGAGATGCTTCTGTTGGGTCAGGGTGTGGTCCTCAGAGTTGAGGCACAGGGGTGGCCATCTCACAGGAGGAGCGAGCAAGGCTCGCTAGTGTCTACACATCCCTGGAGAAGCTCAGTGGGCACCACTAGAGAATTCAGGCCTCTTCACTGGGGGTGGCCTTCAGACAGCATTTATAAATCCATTTATAAAGTTATGCCAACAGAGGAGCATTCTGCTTGCTGGAGGTTACCCAATGGCAATTCCCATTTTAGTCTATTACCCACTAAGACCAGAGGGGAAATAAAGAAAAAAGGTGGGGGAGGTATAGTTGAGGAGGAAGATGACACATAAGAAATCTGCTGGTGTAGATCTAAGGACAATCCCAAGGTCAGGTGGAGCTCTGCTCCCAGGGGTGGTCAGAACCACTATCACAGCCCTGCTTTGCCCCTTTAAGAACAGTTGAGGTCCTGGCCAAAACCCTGAACAAAATCCAAGTCTAAGTTCAAGTGCCAGAGAGGAGCACAGTTACTACCATACCCAACGTGTTATTGCAGTTGCTTCATAAGTACAAGCCTTAAATAGAACTATTGGGGCTCAACTGCTTAACAGGAGCACAGCACAAAGTTTCACACTGTAACCTGACCAGGTGCAGGTCCCTGGCCATGGCCAACATCCAGGCCGTGTTTGGCAAAGCTCTTGTTTTCCACACTGCAAGCATCAATTAACACTCAGCTTAAATGCTCACACCAGCCCCTTCACAGCTATCTGCTCTTTCTAGACATTACCTCCTGCCCCCAGAGGTTAGGCAGCTCCTAAGACTTTAATAAATCAGGTGACCCTGTACGTGTGAGTAAGGAAGACGATACGCTGAAGCCTCTCTAACAGGAAATACCCTATAATTAAGTCTTCAATCTGTGCTGAGTTAAGAGGCAGGACAGACTGTGAGAGTTCCTCAAGCCCAAGTGTCCTCTCCCCCCCCCCCCCCCCCCCCCCCCCCCAATTTTAAAAAAATCCTCATCCTCATCCTCCTTTGCATTGCCTCATTTGAATCTGATGAAAAAAGATTCAGCCTCTTCCCAGGCTGAGTGCTCCCATGCTTGTTTCCATCCGTTATGAAACTGCTACTGACATCTAGCCTAGTTTTTTTTTTCCCCCCGCTTTGCTCAGTTTCAGACCATTGCTCCCCATTGTTCTTCATCTTGCCTTACAAAGAAAAGGTTTAGAGGAGGGAAAATAAACAGCCCTGCAGATGAGGGCTGGGAAAAAAAAAAAAAAAAAAACAACAAACAAACCCTGGCCCCACGTACGATCTGCTCGCATCTAGCAAATTTCAGTAATGAACTTGCTGCCTGGTGTGAAACACGTCGCTTGGAAGCACCGCATGCAGCCCTGCTCCAACCGGAAGGGTCAGGAGCGGACAGAGGGGGCTCCAGCACCTCCTGCTCTGAATAGCAGTCGCACATGACAAGAATAGACCCACAAGTGTACCGGGAAAACTTACTTGCTTTTGCTGTAAGTAACCCGAGTAGTTGGTGACTTTTCCTGTAGCTGCAGAGTGAAATCAAATCCAGACCAAATACGTTTGCTTCAACTATGCACAAGTGACTTTATGGCAGAGAAAAGAACAAGTGATGCTGCATTTGGGATCCACTTTGCAGCTCAAGAGCTGCTCTGGGCTGGCCAGCAGAAAACCAGGTGCTACGCTCGCATCCCCAGCAGCAAAGCAGCTGCCACAGCCGTACCTTAGAGCGTGGGCTTACCTGGCTGTCGGAGGAAGAGACATTCCCTGTGGTTACACAAACTCAGGGCAGAGCACAAGGCTTTGCTGCTACTGGGCCCTACCTTGGGCACGTGCATGATCACATTTAATAGGTGAAGCAGCAAGGCAGCACTGTCGAGCAGCCCTTGTGCAAGATGCTGACGTTACCCCCACCCTGCACTACACAGTTAGCAGAATTTGTTCCCCCACAGGAGGCAGAGCTTCATCTTCCCCAAGACTAAATATCTGGAATAGAACTCCATTTCAGAAGGGACATGCATCCAATTTTCCCTGACGCTGTGCAGATGCATGCAAGAGGAATAGGGAAAAGGGTAAGATACAAAGTGGGATGGGCGCCACGTACATTTTGCAGCCTTACATTAAAGAACGCCCTTCGGATTTGTATCGCACATTTTTGCACTGTAAAGCTATCAAGAGGTTTTACGAGGGTGTATAGTGTGTCCTGTGGAGCAAAGGGCGAGTGGCCGCACCAAGCCATCAGCCAGAATTAGGACACAGTTTTGCATAGGCAGAACTGGACACACAGGTAGGGAAGGCAGTACCTCCCACAATTTTTCATCCCTTGCCTGCCATTAAGGCCTAGGTGCCACAGAGCTGGGTGCTCTGCAAAAGTATAATGATCACAGAGGACAGAAAGTAAGTTTTGCAAGCAGTAGGAGAGGATCAGAGGCCGCAGAAGACAAAGTCTTTGGTTACATGCAGCAGGGTCCTCACCTGATAAGGCTTCCTCACCTCATTCCTTTCTTGAATCCAACAAACCCCAAAAGCTGCTCATCTCCAGACTGACCAGATACTTAACCGCTACCATATCCTTGGGTTGTGCAAAGGAATTCAACAGCAGAGAGGCTGCTATTTTCCTTCACTAATTAAGTGAAGCCTCATAACCAGAATCGGAGCTGGAATGCTCAAGACATGTCTCCTATCTCTGCAGCGAGCAGAAAGGACAAACTCGGATCCCTCATGTACAGTAACTCCGATTTGTCACTTTAAGATGAAATACCACCTTCCACACCATGAGTAGCACCAAAGTCCCCTTGTCACCGTCCGCCAAACTGAAACACTCTGAAATAAATCCATTTGGTATTTTCAAGACAACTCTTATCTTCTAGGGGAGAGGAAGGGAAGGAACTGCTGTTTCCAGACATATTTTGCCCAGCTCTCAACAGGACACAATTCACACATCTAGAGGAAAGCACTGAGGTGGAGAAGAAAGCCCATAAGAGAATGACATGTTAGAATGAGATTCAACATGCTTGTTTCACTTGTGACCTAAACTGCAAAAACACATGTGCCTTTGAGGGTGGGGTAATGAGCACGCAGTTCGGTACTAGTGCAGTTTTTATACTAATTGATTCTCAACACTGCCGTATTTCAGCTCTTCCCAACATCCTACTACCCTGGAGCAAAAACCCTAGCTCATAATGAAGGGCTTTGAGAGTGTGAAAAACAAAAAAGTTAATTTTAATTTTTCAATGCCAGACAGACTCCTCGGGGAACCTTAACTCAACATGCATGAGCAATACTCACAACAGGACAACACATTGCAAATAAAATGCAAAGCAGAACCAAATGGAAAAAGAGGAGGGAGAGAAGGAGCTGGAAAGAAAGACGACACATGTGTGTGTAAACACGTACGCGTGCACACAGAGGGGCACCACTCGATGAAGCTGCTCAGTTTTTGCTCTGGAGACTGCAAAGCTACCAGGATGGAGGCCTCAGATCAGCCCAAGGTCGCTGAACATAGGGAAGGCAAAATTCTGCACTCAATTACAAGTAAAATGAGAGCTCATGATGGCCTAGGACACATCTCAGAGCCGCCTCATGCTT